AAGGTTGGGAGTTTGAAGCCACCAGCCACTCCTTGAAAACCCTATGGAACAGTTCTACTCTGCCCTGTAGGGTTGCTTTGAGTCGGAATTGACTTGATGGCAACGGGTTTATTAGACATCCAAGAAGAGATATTTACTAGGCAGTTAGATGTTGGAGTCTGGAGGTCATTGGAGTGGTCTGAGCTAAATACATAAATTGGGAACTTTCAGCTTCAGGATAATATTTAAAGTCATAGGACCTGATATGAGATTTTTTTGGGAGTAAGTGTTGCTAGAGAAGAAGCGGTCTGAAGACCAAGCCCTAGGACACTCTGAATTTTAGAGGGCAGAAAGATGAGGAGGAACCAGAAAGGTGACTAAGAACGAGCAGCCATGAAGCAAGAGGAGAACTGTGGTAAGAGAGAGGGCAAGAGTTAATAGTATGTTGAAGGAGAAAGTATGACAGTGGTTTATGGAATATAAACAAGTAGGAAGCCAAATGAAGGTATAGGGAGGGAGGAGGGGAGAGTGATGGACAGTGAACTGGTGGTTGAGTCAATGGTTTGGAGGTCCCGTTGAGGTTGAGAATTTGTTAGTATTGAGGGCCTACATAGAATTTGGATTGAGAATGGGATAGAAGACAAGATTATTGGAAGAAATGAATTCAAGAAATTCACAGACCTGGTATTGGAAGACATAAACATATATATATGGATGTTAAAGTCATTAAGAGATAAGACAGGAACTGTAAATTATTTGCTGCGTTGTAAGTAGCCAAATCTGATTTTTTGGCTGATTTGCATTTAGCTTGCATCAATAGGTGATGTCCTCACTACTGCTCAGTTTTGTAAAATTTTGAAATTTTAAATAGTTCAAGGAGTGGAGGACTCAATACTATAAAGTGTCATCTTCAATGGAGGCCCTATGAGAATCTCGTCAGGTTATATGTGCATGTATGCATAAGTGTGTGGTGAAACTTAAAAGCCTAATTTTAAAAATTTTATGGAAATACAAATTATTTAGAATCACCAAGACATTCTTGAACAAGATGGCATGACTTGGCCTACCCTACCAGGTATCAAGACTTACAACAAAGCCATATTGACTAAGATGTGTGTCACTGCACAGGGATAAACAAATAAATGCAGGGAACAGAATGGGGTCCAAATCACCCATGCATGTATGGACA